CATGGCACCCACCTCAGTCCCACCTTCGTTTCACGAAGGTCCGACTGGAGCCCTAGGGGTTTTAAGCACCGTTCACGTCTGAATCAGAGGAATCGCAGGGGTGCCACTCAGTGGACCAGCGTCTTTTTTTTTTTGGCTCCCAGCCCTGGTTGAACGTAGGAGTGGTCTGGACAGAAATACATTTGAAAGGGGAGGAGCCAATGAGTAATTGATAAAAAAACCTCTGTGACTCTGCAGCATGGGAGCTAGCGCCAAGGCTTGGGGTTCGGACCACCCGCAGCCATACAGCCTTACAGAACAAGCATGGCCCTCTTAAGCCGGAGACGACTTGTCATGGATCCTGGCAGGTTCTCGGCAGGCTGGGGACCAGTGCGCATCCAACAAAAACATGATATATTACAGTATATCAAGATGAAAGTATAGTGAATTGAGAGTAGATGGTACAACCCCCAAGAGGTGGTTTATATGGATCCCCATCTAAAGGACTTAATTTGGATGCCGGGTGCCAGTGCCGAATCTACTCTGAAACCACTGTAACTATATAGAAGTCCGGAAAAAAAACCTTGCAAATGGAAACTAGTGGTTCTACCCCGGACCTGTCTTCCCTCTACATCCCATCCTTGCAGGAGGGCCTGGCGCAAGAGCGCCGCCGAGCCGAGCCGCTGGAATCTTCGCACGGATGTTGAAGGCCACCGTCCAATCCTCCAGTGTGCAAGCATCCTCAGCGACCGAACTGGGAAGCAAAGCCGAAGCGCAGCGGTGGCGTGGGCGGGAGGCGACTTGTCAAGCTGAAAGAACCCGCGAGGTTTTTCAGGTGTCACACCTCTTGAGAATGTCCAGGAGGTAAAAGGTGTGAGGACAAACATCTCGGATGGATTGAATCCACAACACTTCAAAACAAGTGGACAATGTGACGACAAGTCTCCAATTTCTATCCACCGAAGGACTTTTCAAGAATGCACTATAATCATACTGTACCAACTGAATGAGGCAATGGTTTTGATGCATACGCTGAAGAACATGCGACAGAACAAACAGCCCGTGCAACAGCACCATCCTCACCTTCGTCCTCAGCAGGTTCTTCCCCTCCCCGGCCGCGGTTGTCAAATTGTCAAACGGTCACCAATGGAAGCCCCTACACCACTGAGGGACCTCGAATGGACACCCCTTGAAGGTCCAGGAATATTATATATATATATTAATATATATTATATCCAAAATCTTTTGAACATGTCTCTCAGAGACCACCAACCAAGCTCTCGCTCGCCTGAACATATTCTAAACATGTGGTGCAAGCGTTGAGAAAGCCCAACCAACGCCTTTCATGTTTCCACCTAAAAAGAACAAACACAACTCTACATTCTCGTCATCGCATTGTCAGGCTTTCCACATGTACACCTCTCTCGCTCTCGCTCTCTCGCTCTAAAAAACGGCAGTGGTTGATCTGCCTTCAGAGATTCACAATGCATGTTTTAACATGTAAAAAACAACAAAAACAACAACATTTTTTTGGACTTCGCCGAGGCGCTGCGGGCTTCATCCCCACCGGCCGTTGGCTATGCGCCCAGCTCTCCCCATCGTCCACCGGGTCGTGCTGCGTCACCCGGCGGCTGGGCACCTCGCGTGTTCCACGCGACGGAACCCGCCGCGCGACGGAACCCGCCGCGTCCGTATACGCCCGTCGTTCCGCACCGAAGGCCACGCCGGCCACGCCGATTCCCGGAGGTCTCCCTAGCTGCACCAAACATCACGGTTTTTCTTTGGTGTCTGCGCGGCTGAAGGGATGGAGCTCTAGATGGAAGAGAAGAAAAGGCATCGGTTTGCAGTGTAGAACACGTGAGCTTAAGTTCTTGTGCGCATTTGCTCCAACAATGGGGGTTACAGGATCATATATATCCAAATAGAAGGACCGAGTTAATCCCTTGTCCTACTGCCAGCTTCAGATGTTCACTGGTCTCCAGGCCAATTCCGTCCAACTGACTCTATGTTCTGAGTCAGTGAGGCCATCTCTTCAGAACAACCCATCGAATCGGTCATGCAGAGTGGGATGGGCGCCAACCTACTGCGCCAACCTCTATCTGTCTCCGTCTCCTGCGCCCAGACTGGGGCCCAAGAGACACACACACACCATGTCGACGGAACCCTCGCACAACCAGGTGCGGAACCCTCGCCATGCGTTGGAGTGACATTTCACTTGCCCAGACACGACCTGTCTGGGACTGCCAGCCATACATGCCAATCAGTTGGAGTGGCTTTGGGGTCAATGTAGGCATATATGCATGGCATACATGGAGCGTCTGGGTTGGGATCTTCAAGTTGCGAAACTTAAGCATTGTTGCATTGGCTTCTCCGGCCACGACCAGGGAGTGGCAACCAAAGCTTTGTTGGGCCGCGCCACTCTCTGTTCTATCTTCCGCACCTGAAGATTCCAACAAACTCATATGCAAAACGTTCTGCATGGCGTCTTGTATTCCTCCCCAAGAAAACACATCAAACACGTTTATGTCCCATCTTGACATGCTAATCATGCTAAATCCATTCTGTTGCGTCTTTCCGTCCCAAGACACGTTGGGACACCGACCACTTTCCATGCTTTCTCCGTTGGATTTCACTGGGCCAATCGCATACTTCCCGCCCGAGCAGAACTGGGAGTTGCCGGGCGACCACCGCTGTAGAGACGCGATTGTTGTGTCCTTAGAGACCGCACGACTCGGTGTGGAGAAGGAGCACCCAATGCGAGCCCTCAGGTGCAAAGGGATGGGCTTGGAAGTGGCCCAAGGGAAGCATGTTTAACTCCCTCAGGCCAAGATAACAAATTGTCCAGGATCATCCGCAAGGAAATCATTTCATACGTTAGTTATCGTCAGTTCCTACAACATGTGCCAGACGGGCTATATAATGAAGTTCTTTACATATACAATATATGCAGTACCCTCTTCCAACTGGATGACATTGAATGACGACTTCCTTACCTTGGGATGCTGCTTTTTCCGTGGTGGATCCACTCCGACAGGTGCTGCTTCGAAGCGATCCGCACCATGAGGCCTCACCCCGATCACCCTCCATCTGCGATTTTTCACTGAACTCCTAGGACTTCTACTCCTGCTCCTTCCGCGGTCGTAAAGAGGGGGGGCTTCCCTTCGGTGAAGAAAAAAGCCAACCAAAGGGTTGCTTCATGGGAGGGGCCATTATGGAAGTCATGGGAAGTGAAGATAAGTGAAGACCCAAATCAGCACAGTTATACCAGCACCCGACTCAAAGGGTTTATCATGGTTTATGAATTGAGACCTAGTCTCACACCTTTCCCAACCCACCACGAACGACCTGGCAGTGAGGGTAGGAGAGTGCTTTGATTGATCTCAAGTCTTATTCGCGACAAGTGGAAGATAGATTGTTGATAAACTGATGCAGTCCATGAGTCGATCCCCCCATCAATCCTCCAACATGGCAATTCCCAACTCAATACAGTAACTGTTGGATATAGGACACCAACATCGACCCCTAATAACTGCATGTTGATTCATAAAACCATCAATGATATAAAACCGTTCTTCTTCTTCTTCTAACATATCCTAACCATCTACATGGTCAACCCCAGCATGTCCACAAATCTCAGCCAACACCTCACATTTGGGTGTGGATTTCGTCACTTGTCCCCCCCAAAACCTTCCCCAAACCCGGTGACTCTGGTGGCTCTCGGTGACTCGTCTTCCCAATCCGGTCGACCGCTCCGAGCGTCTCAGCGGTTTCACTCCCATCATTCCACCACGAGCTCCCGCCATGGCGGAGCGCTTCGGCGATGACCGGTGCGTCGGGAAAGGACGAAAACGCCTTCGTCGGTGGATTCGCGAGTACTCTGAGTGAGTCTAGAGTTGGTGACGGGGGTCGAGTTGGTATGTCTCAACATCCAAGCAAACTGGTCCAGGTATGTCACAGTGTCCAGCTCATACTTTGGGATTTACATGGATACACATGTCACAACAAGGAAGATCAGCAGCCGGTTCTTGTGCCGATGAAGACTCGGCCGTCTTCCAAGAGGCTGTCAAATGATGTCACATGTACTGCACGAATCACACAACTTAAAGGAGTACCTCGCTGCGGGAATTACGGCTACATAACGAGTACTGCAATATACGAGTACTGCAACGCTCAGACGTGGGCCTCGTAAAGGCTGATTAAAGAATTTGCCCGAGTCACCTAGCTGCTTGCCGTTGCTTGACTTCTGCAGCTAAAAGGAACATCATCATCTTGGGCCAAACTGTTGGACATCTGGTGCCCGAAAAACGACGGCTCCGGAAGGAGGATGGGCTCGAACAGCTCACATATTGAAAACTATGTTATATATATATATATAGCCTCCAAGTCCACAACAACTTATGTTTGCAAACCGTTGCAGCAGTAACAGTACCGTGGCACTGTCATTATGCACTTTTACTCCAAAAAATAATTGCAGATAATTGATATATAAGACATATAAGAACCAGGACCCTCCAAGGGGTGCCCAATGGAAGCCTATAGGTAGTGTTAGTGTGAGGTAGTCGAGCCAGGACACCCCTTGGAGGGTCCAGGAATAAGGCTTGCAGAACCTGCAATGATTTGAATCGTGACCGGAGTGGGTCAGCCGCCCAGACCGCTCCCACGTGAAGCCGCCCAGTGCCGGTGCCGACCCCTGGCACCGGCAGAGCGTCGTCTAAAAGGGGATGAGGCTGAGGGCATTGGTGCAATAGGTGGAAGCAAACAACACAACGAATTCAACAGCGGTATAGAACTTGTAGCTCACATGCAAAGAAAAAGAACCGAATCCAGGTCAGCAACATACACAAAATGTGCGGAACATCCAGCTACAAATCAAATCATCATCCAACAAAAGATCATACACCAGCGCCTTCAAAGTGGTCCCCTGGCTGGTTTCGCCCCAGCCGACTACTACCTCGGGACCTCCAGACAGGACACCCCTTGAAACGTCCGACGTCGTCACCCGCGGCGGTGGGCCACCGGGCTTTGCGGTTGCCCGGCGATCTGCGCGTGGCCAAAGAGGCAGCTGGTGGTAGCTGAGTCCGTTGGTCCAGCTACTACTCCGTTTGGTCAGATTTCATGAGATTTCTCAAGGTGTTCCGAGGTGTCTTCAACTTTGAAAATGCCGATCCAAAAGAGAGGGGGTCAACAGACGTCAAGCATTGGCCAACAGAACCGTCAAGCCTTGAAACTCGTTCGTTCAACAGACTTATTGTACACCCCCCTTCAAAGCATATCAACGCAGGCTGCAGGCTCCATTCTGAAAGGGAAGAAGGCGCCCAAGCTGGGCAAAAGCAAGAATTTTGAGGGATTGGTTCGGGTCAAGAGTTTGGTGACTGGGTGGTATACCCTCCCTGGAACTCATGTGGTGGAAGTGGATGGCGGTATGAGGATTTCATGGTCTTCCGAACTCGGCGCCATACCTTCCACTAGTTCCAGGGAGTGTCAAGTGTCTTGTTCCCGGCTGTGGCGGGTCCGACTTCTACTCGCCTGTGGCTGTTGATCAGAATCAACTGCTGTGGCTGCTTAGTCTTGTCGCAACAAACACCGTTTAGATCTTGTCCATCATGGGTTTTACTGCCTTCTACTGTACTTATGCCAGGACACTGGATCACCTAAAATGCATTGATTCTATCAGTTCAAGTGCTGTTACACATCTGTCCTTAAACCATAGAACCCACATGACATCGCCGCTGATCGTTTGCCACCTTAAGAGGAAATTCCACACACGCACAAAAAACGCACAACAAAATGAATCAAAACAAATAACAGCAACAGTCAAAGACCTGACATAAAATCCAAAGAATTCACACTTGACACGGTGGGGGGGATGAACACGACCGACCTCTCATCCGACCGGCCTTGGCGAGGGCTTTCGCCGCTCCGGAGTGCCTGGCGCCTGCGACTGAGTCTGAGGGTCGGGGCCAACGGATGTGAGCCAAAGCAGTTCGTGGATGTGAATTGAATTCTGAATTTGTATTCATACTCATTGTTTAACGTTATGAATGAGTTTTCTGACGGGTTGAATGATGAAGCTGAGCTTGATGAGCTTGATGATGACGAATTGGGTCTATCCTAACACCTGTACCAGTGGATGATGATGGTTAGTAAGGCCTTGTTGAAACATAGTGATAATTGTTTATACTGACTGTTACAAGTAATAGGACAGACCCAATGATGAACATGAAAACAGTCCAACAGACCAAAACCGCACCAGTCTTCCACCCAGTTCACACATCAAGCCAACCCACGAAGAAGTGTTCCACCCCCAACAAAGAAGTCTCCAGGACCCCCCAGGAGTTGGGTGGTAGACATGGACACCCCTTCTTCACAGCTTTTCGGGCCTTTGTATATAAATAGACACCCCGACGGGAGGGTCCTGGCTGTGGCATTCCAACCGACCGGTCCACAGTGAGCCGGCTTACCACCTGTGGCTTCGACGACTTCGTCCGAGGCCGCTCGCCACCGCGAAAGACGGTGGTTCTTCGTGATCAATCAACGGCTCCATCGATGGAGGTCGAACATGATGACCTACTTGCGCTGCTGGATTTACTAGATACCTGCATCTTCCTTGAGGTGCTGAATTTTCGTCTGTGGAAGGAAAAGCTACTTTCCCTAGTACCAGCTCCAAAAAAAGATCTGCGGATCTTTTTCATGATTTTGGTGCTTTGCAAGGTTTTGCTGCAATTGGGGTTCGGCTCACAGTCGCCCTGGCATACTCATAATGTCAGTTGTAATTTGGATGATCATCTTTAGTGTTGGCAGCTTCTATCACCTTTGACATCAAACACGATACCTAAAACCCGCTCTGAAGGGGCGTGTCTCCAACCATGCTCCCAGTCAACCACGCTTTTCATCTTTTTCACATTCGGTGGAAGTCAATGGGCTCTTCCACCCCTGCGGTGCAATGAAGTCGCAGCTGACCTCGGACCAGTGCGCACTGTCAGTTCCATGAAGTTGGCAGTGTCTGTGTGCAAGGGTGTTATGAGGACTGTGTGTGTTTGTGCCTATCGTGCCTCAGCCGTTTTGAAAAGGAAGATCTATAGGGTTTTGGCTGATCCCCGGTCACCACGATGTCGAGTGAGTCAGTGGGGTCGATTGGGCCGATGACGGGGGATATCCCTCTTGGAGTGCTCGCCGACCTATGGGAGAATTCAAAACCGTGTCGGGCTCGGGTCATGGATGCTGAGAATGGACAGCTAACACGTTGGCCAAGCGCAACAACGGTTGGACTCAAAAGTGTCCATGCCATGTCTTTGAATGCTACAGCGCTGGAGGTCTTAGCCACGTGGTGGGTCACGGTGATGCCGGTTCCGAAGCCACCCTCTGTTGATCTACTGAGGAGGGAGGCCTGGGTTCCCACAACAACGATCATCTTTCAAGAATTCAATTCCCCCTAAGGGCTCAATTGTGTTGATAGTGGTTGTGTTGCCATGCAAGCAATCTATTTTGTTTACTGTGGCCTGCAATTGTCCCCAAGGTGCAACAATTGCGGGTTCTCTTGGGCAAGAACCCCAAGGATACAACAACGATACATGTGGATGGCAAGGGCTTGAAATCATTGTTCGCTCATGGAATCAAAAGGTTCAAGGATCGGACTGCAACACGCGAACCTTGTTTTCTATCAACAAGTTTTGCTACTCGTTTTTCCTTTCCCACTCTCATTGTTCTCATAAACCCAATGAACTTGGCCACACAATGGAACTCAAATCACTATCTTACAATAAATGTTGCTACCCAACTGCCACCCCTTCCCCGTCATGATGTTTCTTCCATCAAGCAGTGGTTTAGGAGCCTCGATTGGAGAATTTCTATGCGATCTTGGAAGCCCATTGGACAGTCAGTGACAGCGATCCCTATTTTGGAGACACTGATGACACCGAAGAGCCAGAGGACGGTGCACGTGCTGCGTCAGATTCAGCGCCTGTGGACCTGAGCAAGAGCTCTGAAGTGGTGGCAGTGGACTTGACCAATTGTTCTGACACACTGCCAACTCCTGAGCGGCCAAGTGTAGGTGCTGAACAGTTGGGTGACACTCTGGAAGATTCCCCATGGTCAGCGGAACCACGCAGGGTGGAAAGTCCTGACTCACAACCACAAGATTCGCCTTGGCATGCGACCCCTATGTCTGGGCAGAATTCTACTTCTATGCCTCCTCCAGCAGTCCCTTCAAAAAAGAGAAGCCCTGATCAGCATCAGCAGGCCCTCTATCCATTTGAGGATGGACTTCCTCGTGAGGAGGTCGAACGCCGCGTCCGCGCAAGAATCTTTGAGATCAAGTACCCTGGCTGCTCAGTTTAGGGTGTTTTTTACCCATGTGAACCCCCCCAAACCTTTCTTTAAGAGAGTGAAGCTTCTGGAGGGTCTTGTTGATACCCCAGGGTTTAGAACTTCTGAAGGGGATTTGTTCCTCATCCATCTAACCACTGACAGGCAGCGCATGGCCACCGCAAAACACGCTGAGAGCCTGACAGCTTCAGCGAATGCCTCTGCCAAACCTCGGGAGCAACAACCACCATGCAACATGGCGATCATGAGTGTAATTTTTGTCAGTGTTTCGGGGGCAGCTTTGGTGATGTCCGAACTCTTGTTTTCTGGTATCCTTGCCAAACAGAGGCACTGATGCTATGGAGACTTTACCCATGACGGACAGCCAGGTGGAAGAATCATCCTATGCCTTGGCCAAAGAGGAAGCGGTCCCCATCCAGTCGCCCAACGGAAGAACTCAAGCCTTTCCACCACCTTCGTATATGATGCTTCGCCTGCAAAGAAGCCAGAACAGGCAGCAGCGGATGGCAATGGCAAACCTTCCGAACCTGAGGTCATGCATGATCCTGTGGAGACCAAGCCTGTGATTGCCAAGCCTGTGGATTCTGTGGAAACCAAACCTCTGGAGACCAAGCCTGTGGACCCGCCTCTGGAGACCAAGTCTGTGCATCATGTGGAGCCGCTGGAGACCAAGCCTGTGGATCCTCTACAGACCAAGCCTGTGGATCGTGTGGAGCCGGAGACCAAGCCTGTGGATCCTCTAGAGACCAAGCCTGTGGAGGAGCTGGAGACCAAGCCTGTGGATCGTGTGGAGCTGCTGGAGACCAAGCCTGTGGATCCTC